TTATGACAAGAATTTGGATAAACGTCTGTCTTGGTGGCATTTGTCAATATCTGCTAAGGTGGATTTTGTTTTTCCCATAGCAACAAATCAATATTATAATTTGCGTCTATAGATACCACATAGAAAGTTCAAATAGATTCGTGTTTTGTGGTTAAAATTTTCCATTTTTTTGGTATAAAATAAATTCTTGAGAGAGAGGAGACCTTCGACGGAGAAATATTCGAAACAGCGAATGCAGCAGTCGGCTCTTTGATTCCACAAAAATCACAGGACCGGTACAATGAAGAATATGAACAATTATAAACGTATTATCGAAAGAATGCGGTAAAGAATTTTTACAGCACTGAGTACGGTAAAGTACTCCCTACGGCACGCAAATGAGTGCGGTAAAGTGTACTTTACCGCATGCGAGTAGGAAAAAACTTTTCTCGATTTTGATGTGAGAATGTCATTATTCCCACACGCAAAATCGTTGAAGAATGAAGCTCATTCTTCAACGATTTTTAGTGACATTTAGTTTTCAAATTATACCTATTGGTACCTTCAAAATTGTCAAACCTTTTAAAATGATAGAATCCACCTGCCAGTTGTTTGGTAAGTAAGTGTCACCAACTGACATATTTTGATAATAAAAAATCCCCAACTAACAGAGTTCACAAAAAAAATTCAAAAAATGAAAAATAAAATCCAAAATCGAGAAAATAGTATAAAACACACGTTGCAGAAGGCTATTCTCGCACTCATTCGTTCGTCCACTCGCTCCTTCGTCGCTCGTGGCCAAATTTCGAATTCGTGCGGGAATATGTGGCCTTCTGCAACTTGTATTTTAATATACTATTTCCGCACTGATATGTCAAAAAAAAAAGTTTTACCGCACCGTGCGGGAAAACTCATTTTCCGCACGCATATCAGTGCGGAAAATCGATTTTTCCGCACGGCTGTAGGAAATAGCTATTTATACAACAAGTTACGAAATGAGTGTCTTTTAGGCACGCGACGTGAAAATTGTCCAACGAGGCGTAGCCGAGTTGGACAACACGTCGAGTGACTAAAAGACATCGTTTCGTTACGTGTTGTATAAAAGATTTTTTCTACTGGCGTTTTATTCTGAAAAAAAAAACATAATTTTATTCCTCGCAAATAAGAGCCGATCACGCCAAAAAAGTTTGGCACCTGCTTTTGATTGACATCTTTCATGAGGTTTTTTTGATTGAAAATTGAAATCCTATTGAAAAAAACAACAGAAAGTTCTGTTTTGAGTAACCCAAACGTTTACTTTAGTAGTTCAAATAATTGCATTTACAACATTTATGAAAAAATAGACAAAATTCAAATCTGTGTTTTTTATTTCTGAACAATTAGTGACACTTTTAGGCACTAGTGCTTAAAAGTATCACTTTTAGGCACTAGTGCTTAAAAGTGTCACTTTTACGCACTAGTGCTTAAAAGAATGCCATTTAAAAACTAAAATGACAGTCGAAAAGTCGCTATTATGAAACGTCAGTAGAAAAATAGCTATTTATACAATAAGTTACGAAATGAGCGTCTTTTAGGCACGCGACGTGAAAATTGTCCAACGAGGCAAAGCCGAGTTGGACAACACGTCGAGTGACTAAAAGACATCGTTTCGTAACGTATTGTATACAAGATTTTTTCTACTGGCATTTTATAATAAAAAAATACAATTTTATTTCATGTGAATAAGTCGATTACACCCAAAATCTTTGTTACCCTGCTTTTACTTGCCACCTGACACTTTTCATGCGATTTTCTTTTGAAAATTCGACATCAATAATTAAAATCCTAGAAAGTAGGTAATAACACAAAGCTCTGTTTTGAGTAACCCAAACGTTCAATTCAGTAATTCCATTTTCAATATTCATAATAAATACAAAACAAAATTCAAATATGTGTTTAGTGTGTTTTTTATTTCTGAATAATGAATGACACTTTTAGGCACTAGTGCTTAAAAATTACTTTTACGCACTCATAAGTCACTTTTACGCATTCAAAAGTCACTTTTACGCACTGAGTGCCTAAAAGTAACTTTCACGCACTCAGTGCCTAAAAGAATGTCGTTTCAAAACTGAAATGACAATCGAAAAGTTGCTATTATGAAACGTCAGTAGAAAAATATTTTTTCAAATTTTTTCTTTGTTTCAGAATTAGTTGTTTTTCAGGTACTCCCAAATAGTCTAAGAAAAAATAGATTTTTTTTAATTATTAGGGGACTGCTGGCTTTACGCTTACATGTTGGTGTGTCACAATGGAAAAAAACTTCGGGATCTATATAATAATTAGGTGATAATTATTGCCTCTAATTAAAAATAAGGTGCTCCTCTAGTTTTTGAGAAAATCAAAAAAAACTAAGGGATTGCTAGGTTTATGAAAGCTAGTAGCGAGGGGTAAGTCACCCTTAAAATTGGGTACAATAAATTACCACTTTCTTCAAAAAATACCAATAATTACCAAAAAACATTACCAAAAATACTAATAAATACCAAAAAAGTCCAATACCAATAATTACCAAAAAAATACCAGTAGTTGCCAAATAATACCAAAAAATACCAATAATTCGAGGGGTAGGTCACTCAATAGAATTTGTACACCTAATTACAAATTCATTCAATTACATGTATTTTTTTGTAATTGAATGTATTTGTATGTAATTGAATGTATTTGTTTGTAATTTGATGTAATAGAGAATGTAATTGAAGGTATAAAATTAAATGTATTTGAGCGTAATTGAATTTAATTGATGTAATTAGGTGTAATTGAGTGTAATTGTATGTAATTGAATATAATTAAATGTAATTAACTTTTTTTGGAAATAAAGATGGATGATGGAGAGGGCATGTATTTATATCTAATTGACAGTAATTGATTGTAATTGAAAGTATTTGAATGTAATTAAATGTAATTGGATGTAATTGAACGTAATTAAACGTAATTGAATATAATTGAATGTAATTGAATATAATTGAATGTAATTGAAAGTAATTGATAAAATGTATTTGAGCGGTATTTGAACGTAATTGAAGGTAATTGAATTGTAATTGAGTGTAATTATTTGTAATTGAGTGTATTATTTGTAATTAAGTGTAATTAAACGTAATTGAACGTAATTGCAAGGTAATTGAGGTAATTAAATGTATTTTTTCAATAACATTTCAACATTTGTATACCTAATTGGGGAGTGACCTACCCCTCGCAATAATTACCAGAAAAATACCAATAATTACCAAAACAATATTAATATTTACCAAATCAATTACCAAGAAATACCAATAATTACCAAAAAGCTAAGGATTCATGAATCTAAGAAGCTTCTGCTATTGCATACTTCTCGGTATACTCTAAGTGGGGCCTGACAATTGCATTATAGAGTTTTATAATTATGCTTAGGTTTCTAAAGTTCTTTGAGTCATGAATTCCAAAACGCAGTTTCTTGTAAGCTCTATAAACTGTTTAGCTTAATTAATTTATTATTAATAAGTCAATGGAGATAGTTTCTGAAATAATACACTAATTTTGAAAAGCAGATTGAACATGGCCTTATTTTCTACTTTTCCTGTATTTTTCAAAGAACCAAAATAGCGATTTGGTTTATTTTTTATTTCTCAAGATTTTTTGAAACTAATTTGCATTTATACAGGGCAGTACCAAAAATACAGAGTTCAAAATAAATAAGGCCCCGTAAAAACACCCTCTGTATCTTTCTTCTCTGTACCGAGGATCGGCTACTGCCGTCTGCTGCAACATATGACTGCTTGCACAAAAGCCTTCTGGGTAATAAAATAAAGGGTGTCATATGTTGCCGCGCATGCGCACTGTGTTCCGGCTATGATAAATACCAATTAAATACCTATTAAATACCAAATATTACCAAAACAATTACCATAATTACCAAGTATTACCAGAAGTACCACAAAAAATACCATAATTACCTTTTTGCATTACCGACTACCCTCGTGAAATCATTAATTTGGTTTATATACCCCATATGATTAAGGTAATTTAAGTATTCTGTGGAGTATTGAGTTGATTTTCTCTCCATGATATTAATATTTGTGTCTCCACAATAAAACTTTTTTAAAAAAAGTTAAGATTTGAAGAAATAATATTTTAAATAGGTGGTTTTCCTCAGAAGTAAGTCCCAAGCAATTTTGTAGTTACGCTCCGTCACTTGTATTGACTCAATAAGAGACAGCGCATCCTTACCTAAACAGGAACGCAAATAATAGAATCGCTGTACATCTGACAACGTCGCATTATCATGAATAAGCGCCTTGAACCCATCTCTAAACTCGACCCATAAATCTAATTGTCCGTTAAAGCTTGGCAACTTCAAAGCTGGTAACTCAACTCTCTTTGAACGTATTTGTGAGCTAGGTTGCAAATCATGAGCAGATGAAGACGCTCCAGAATTTACACTGTAATCACTTTCGCGCATTCAAAGAATTGTAAAAACTTGTAATTTTCGATCGAATTTTACCAACTAAAGCAAAATATGAATTCTCGAATTTATCCCTCTCTTCAAACTGCTCATTCAAGGCATTTGCATCTAAATTACACAGCTCTATTTCATTTTGTTTTAAAGTGAAACTTTCTAAAAGCGGTTCGATTTTAACGAGCCTTACATCCAACTCCTTGGCAACTATGTCGTTAAATGGCGCCGTCGAAATAATTTAAATAATTTAATTGTCTGGTTAAAGAACCCTTTATGAGCCCTCTTTCCCTTTTTAATTTCTCTAGCTCAGCAATCTCCATTGTATAGGTACTAGTTCAAGCAAAGTAAACACTAAATAGGACAATAATGGATAGCTATGGGCAATCGTAAAACAAAAGGCAAAAAATGGGAAGACACCCTTAATCAATAGCGGACACCAATGCTGCTTTTTATCAATCGCTCGTATCAATTTTTATTTACACTCTATTGCACTTTTTTCCGGCACTATCCGACTCGTCTGGACCAAAAATATGTTTATTGAACTCGATTGTTATGAAAAAGCACTTTATTTATTTAAAAATAGTGGACAAAATCAAAAGAAAAAAATAAGAACATAAACGTTTGTTTGTCGTTTTCGCAGCGGTCTTCTCGCTTCGCTCCTTCTTGCTTCATGGGGTTGTTTCGTGCCTTGGCCATAGTTGACAGATGGCCAGGTTGCCGATGTGAGCTTTTGATAGTTAAAAATTTTATTGTTTATTGCCGTAACAGATGACAATATTATTTCTGTAAAGGACTCGCTGGAATTCATATTGATAAAAATGGAAATGGTTTTCGTTCTCTATTCAATCTTACACTTTCTCTAGACTGTTGAAATTGTACTGAAAATTGGAGAAAATCTTGGAGAAATAAAGAAAACACATCTAGACGTTTGTAATATTCTGCTAAGACAGACTTCATATTTATTAATGTCAAACTGACAAGAGAAGAAAATGAAAAGTAATGAGCTAGAGTGGGAGCAAACTACATTGGAAGTATGAACTAATAAAAGACAACAGTTATGACATTCTAGTATTACAGAGAGCATCATAATTCATTTGGTTCTATGTTTCACACAATAATATATAGATGGCGCTGAGTGCAACAAATATATAGCTACTACTGCTATGTGTTTGCTTGATATATCACCAGCGAATGAAAACACTGTTTTACTAATAACTCGGTTTAATTCTGGGCACTGAACATACAAATAAATCGAAATACTTTATTTTGTTAACAACAACAACACGATATCATAATTGCGCGGCAACAAGCTGACTAGAAGTAAACAACAACCTGGGACAGCTGTCTTCTGTCACGTCACGTCAGGCCGTCAGGGTTGTACACAATAGTTGAGCCATCCAGGGTTGAACACAACGGACTCGCGGAACAATGACGCCACATCTACTCCCCTCCCAGTGACGAAGCCACTTGTGGGAGGAACGAAACCTTCTTTTTTGAGTAAGTGCGAAGAGGGCGGTCCATGGTGAAGGATGACGCTGGGTGATTCTCCAGGGTGGATGAAACGGTATCGGGTTTAAGGGTGTAGGCTGGCTTCAGGGCGTCCACAGAGACAGTCTTCTCAACGCCATTGATTCGAATGCTGTACACTCGGTCATTTATTCTCTTGACGACTTCATGCGGGCCAGTGTAGGGCGGTTCGAGCGGGCGACGAACAGAGTCCACTCGGCGGAAGACATGACTGCAAGTTGCGAGGTCCTTGAGGATGAAGCAGTGAGATTTGATATGGTGAGCCGTAGGTGTTGGGCGGACTTTCCTGATGTGGTCCCGGTATTTTTCGAGGAAGACTTGGGGATCAGCTGGGGGTGACTCAGAGGTGAAGAATTCACCAGGTATACGCAGGGGTGTCCCATAAAGGAGCTCCGCTGGTGAGGCATTCAGGTCTTCTTTCAGGCACGTACGCAGACCCAGAAGAACGGTCGGAAGCACTTCCGTCCAGGGCGTGGGTGCTTGACACATAAGGGCTGCCTTCAAAGTCCTATGGAAGCGCTCTACGATGCCATTGGACTGCGGGTGATAGGGCGTGGTGTGGATTACCCGCGCTCCTACAAGGCGTGCAAGAGCCGAAAATAGTGAAGATTCAAATTGCGTGCCCTGGTCAGTTGTGATGGATAGTGGCGTTCCGTAGTTGCAAATCCAATTGATATAGAGAGCAGACGAGACGGTGTCAGCTTCCATGTTCTGGAGGGGTACTGCAACAGGCCATCTAAAAAATCGATCAATTATGGTTAAGCAGTAACGAAATTTGTTGACTGGTGGTAAAATGATGAGGTCTAGGTGAATATGCTCGAATCTGTTGTCAGGTACGGTGATGTGCTGTGGTGCGAGACGATTGTGTCGTTGAATTTTGGATTTTTGACACTGAATGCATTGGCGGGACCACTGGAGGGCGTCCTTCTTGATTCCAGGCCAAACAAATTTTTCTTTGAGGCTTCGAGCAGTGACTCGGCCGCTGGGGTGTGCCAAACCATGCACAACATCAAAAGCTTTGCGTCGGAGACTTGTCGGAATGTAGGGTCTGATGCGATCTGAAGAGATATCACAGAGGACGTTGGCGTTTTCAATAACAAGCTGTTGCAGATTGAGCGATGATTCTTGTGGCGTATCTTGGTCTTCAAGCTGTGCGGCTTCGATGGCTTTAGGAGACAGTGACGTTGGCATGGAGATAGCGTTAATACGAGACAGGGCGTCAGCAACGGCGTTGTGTTCTCCCTTGACATAGACGATTTCTGTGCTGAATTGTGAAATAAAGTCCAGTTGATGGAGCTGTCTGGGGGATGCTTTTTCAGCGCGCTGAGCAAAGGCGTATACCAGTGGGCGATGATCAGTTTTGATGATGAACTGGCGTCCTTCCAGCTGGTGACGAAAGAACTTTATTGCAGCGAAAATCGCTAGCAGCTCGCGATCGTAGGTGCTGTATCGCGTTTCGGTGGGACTCAACTTGCGGGAAAAAAAACCTATGGGCTTCCAGCAGTCGTCGATCAGCTGTTCAAGTGCAGCTCCAATGGCGAAGTCCGAGGCATCAGTGACGAGTGCGAGACTTGCAGAGGGTGAGATGAAGCTGGTACAAGTCGCTTTGACAATGCTTTCTACACAGTCTTGGTAGGCCTTCTCTGAGCTGGGTGTCCAAGGGATGGGCCGTTTGTCTTTTTTCTTGGCACCCTTCATAAATGCATTGAGAGGGGCTTGAAGTTCAGCGGCCTTTGGAATACAGCGACGGTAATAATTGAGCATTCCCAAAAACTTACGAAGGTCAGAGATGGTCTCTGGCTTGGGGTAAGAAGCGATGGCTTGGATCTTGGAATTAGGTGGTTTGTATCCGAGCTTGTTGATGGAGTAGCCGAGGTACATAACTTCTGACTTGTTGATTTGGCACTTGCTGAGGTTGATAGTGAGTTTGTTCTCACGCAGTACATTAAAGATTTTGCGTAGATGTTGCAGATGTTCCTCATGGGAATCCGAGAACACTATCAAGTCATCAATGTAGCATGCTGCGAAGTCAATACCACGGAGAAGGTTGTCCATATGACGTTGAAATGTCTGAGTGGCATTGCGCAGGCCTGGAGGCATACCCAGAAACTCAAAAAGCCCAAAAGGAGTAGTTATCGCTGTTTTGGGTATGTCCTCTGGTGCTACAGGAATTTGGTGGTAAGCTCGAACCAGGTCAATGACAGTGAAGACACTTTTCCCATGCAGCCGCTGAAAGATGTCTTCTGGTAGTGGTATGGGGTACCGATCTGGCACAGTCTGGGAATTGAGCCTCCTAAAATCACCTGTGGAACGCCATCCACCTTGCTTTTTCTGGACCATGTGTAGAGGACTGGCCCATGGACTGCTGGAGGGACGGATAACAGCATGATGCAACAGGAGGTCGAAATCCTCTTTAGCAATCTTTAGTTTCTCTGAGTTTAGCCGACGTGGACGGTCATTGACTGGCGGTCCAGTGGTGACTATGTGGTGATGAGTTCCTGTAGGGGCGTCCACTGATGGGGCTGACCTTGGACGGGTTATGTCAATAAACTCTTCCAGCAACTTGCTATAGGGTTGACTGAGTGTAGGGGGTGCATATTCTGCATTATTGACAGTGGAAACAGTATGAAGTTCGGTTTCATGCATTTCAGCAGGAGAAGACAGTGAGGTGAGAGAGTCCAGAAGGCGCTTGTGCTTTAAATCAGGAAGGAGGCCATGATGTGAAAGCAGGTCGGCACCTATGATTGCTGATTTGACGTCTGCAATGATAAATGCCCACTTGAAGGATCTGCGGAGTCCAAAATTGAGGTTAAGAAAGTGTTGACCATACGTTTTGATAACTGTTGCATTGGCTGCATATAGCATGAGGTCAGCAGGCAGAAGTTTTCGTTGAAAGAAGCTTCTTGGAATCAAGGATACAACGGAACCACTGTCGATAAGGAACTTCATGCCAGTGACCTTGTCTATGACGTGCAGGCGACTTTCTTTAGATGGGAGGCAGGTGCTGTTGACATTGCTGTCGCTTACCACCTGAACAGGCGACAGCATATTTAGTTTTCCTGGCGCGGAGATGCTAGTGGCAGCTGAGACACATTTTTGGGCCCGGGCACCGAATTTTCGATGATATCGGCATTCTCCAGAAGTGACAGAACGCTCACGTGGTTGTCGACTGGTAGAGGTGAGACTCTGTCTGATGGCAGAAGTGAGGTCCTTCTGAGCAATGGTTAGTTCTGTGATGACTTGTCTGAGTTCGTTCAGCTCGGAGGCTACTGAAGAACCATGTCCATGCTGGCGAGAGCTCTGGTTGACGGCCATGACACTGCCACCAGGGATGTTTGTCATGAGCTCATCAGCTGCAGCAGCTAGTTCGTTAAGTGAATTGGCCTTGAAAATTTTCAGCAAGTGCTGAATGCTGACAGGCAGAAGAGCCAGCCATCGTATGCGGAGCACGTCTTCTGTAGCACGATTGCCGGCAAGGGCTCGCATTTCACGAAGCAACTGTGAGGGTTTTCGGTCACCTAGTTCTAGATCAGTGAGCAGTTTGTGCATCTGAGAGTCTTCGGAGGCTGTTAGTCTACTTATTAGGTTAGACTTGAGATTTTGGTACTTATCTTGAGGTGGTGGAGCCTTCAAGATGTCTGCAACTTCCGTGATTGTGTCCGGGTCCAGTGATTTTACCAATTGATAGTACTTGCTGCTATCGGACTGTATACGGTGGGTTTGAAAGACTGATTCAATCTGCAGGAACCATAGGTCTGGATGAGAACGCCAAAAGGGTGGCAGATTGCAGTTGTAAACTGCGTCAATGGCATAACTCTGCTGCTGGTTGAGCATCATGGGGGCTGGCAACGAATATACTACTGGTTGGGCATATCCTTGCTGATAGCTCACCGGGTGATTTGTTGGATTAAAATGCACCGCGGGATCAAATGCTGTACTGCCGTGAGGGCCAGAAAGTTGAGGCATAGGAATACTCACTGACGAACTCCTGTCTGGTTGCTGGTTGGTAAAAGAGCTGTTTGCAGCCAATTGCTGATCAGGATCTACTGAGGAGTCGAAATTGCTTTGCATCTTGATTTTTTTAGTAGTCAGACACGTCTTTTTGGTTAGAGGCCGAGTGGTACGCGGAGATATATCACGTCGGGGTCACCAGTTATAGCTACTACTGCTATGTGTTTGCTTGATATATCACCAGCGAATGAAAACACTGTTTTACTAATAACTCGGTTTAATTCTGGGCACTGAACATACAAATAAATCGAAATACTTTATTTTGTTAACAACAACAACACGATATCATAATTGCGCGGCAACAAGCTGACTAGAAGTAAACAACAACCTGGGACAGCTGTCTTCTGTCACGTCACGTCAGGCCGTCAGGGTTGTACACAATAGTTGAGCCATCCAGGGTTGAACACAACGGACTCGCGGAACAATGACGCCACAAATAACATTTTTTGATATCATAATTTCAACACCCCCACTTAGCAAAAAATTTTAGAACAATACAACAAAAAATACTTTAGAATCACTTACTTAAACCTAAACCTTG